TGACAGAGAGGTTAGTGAAAATGAAAATTTCGTTTGACAAGTAGTCGGTATTCTCGGCACAGCAATTACGGGACTTGAACAGCGGAACTTGTAACTGAACAAGAAAGTATGTCTGTTTATAGAATTAAAGAGAAAGTATTATCACTAAAACGAAGCAATTAAACAACTTACATTGAAAGAAAAATGTTTAATAAAGTAAACAAAAATTATTAAGCTTATTTTTTGTAAATTTGATACTTTAGATCATATTGTTCTTTATTCATAATTACGTTTCATATTTTAATTTTAGAATTTCTGCATGCATCTTACGAGATTTAAATGATGATCTATATCCGGAAAAGCCGAAGTCCCGACGAGTCCGGATTAACGACTTTGACTGTAGTGATATTTGCTAGGTGTCGTGACTTTGCAGATGAATCTTGTGCTGATGATCACATACTTGTCAATAGTTTGAATTCAATGTTATTATTTTCAAAATAAATAAATTACTTGTAATTAGAATAAGATAATTATTTTTATAAAGAAAAATTACAAAATATGCTCATTTCATTACTTATGGCTTACCTTCTCTCAGTGTAATACACATAAATTTTTAATTATATTAAATAAATTAATTACACTTCTAATAAGAATAAAATTATTTTAATTTTTTTAAAATCTTTTTCAACGTATTGTTTGTATTCCAGATAACTTCTAATTAGAATGAAAATTTTAAAATAATCTACTTAATATTAAATATATGAGAGTGGACAAAACAAACGAATTAATTCTAAATAATTAATTGTACTTATAATATGAAATATATATATATTTAATTGTATGAAGTCATTTGTTATCAACCAAATGCCATTTTCTAATTACGTGTATGTAAAATACGTTAGAATTATTAGAATATCAAAAAGTACAATCCTATTGCTTAAGGAGAGGGAAGTCTATTAGAAATGGTTAACTCCGAGAAAAACTACCAGTGGAAAGAATGTACCTTCACGGCGAAAGAACCCTTATACAGTCAAAAGTCGTAATTCGGACCACAATCCGGCCCAAGCTAAAATATTTCTGCGCATGCGCTGCGTTGACGCATGCGCATAGGCATTTACACGTGTGCGCAAGACCTGTACGACTGCGCAAGCGCAGAATACATTTTTGCATGCGCGTTTAATGTATAACGGACGGTATAAGCTAAAATTATCTAATTATCTATTTCAGTTAATGTTGATGATTGTGTTGTTCCTTAATCTTCGAATTGGATCCGGCTTATTATTTTTTGCAGGCCGTAAGAGTAATTTTATAAAGGTAAGCTTGAACTTTCGATTATGTCAAATAGAATTTCCGATGCTGGAGCTCCCAAAGGATCTACAAAAACGAAGTATGTTTCGATTTGTCCATCAAACAAAAAGTGGAATTGCTACAAAAATGGATAAAGGCATCTCCTTTGTTTATTAACTGTTCCGAATCTGTTTATCATTTCACGCTGCTCTGCGCGGGGGGGGGGGAGACGTCGTGGCTTCCCCGAATGGAAGTTGATATGTCAGCACTATCTTATCTTAGGGCAGATGTTTTTATTTTATCGGTTTATAATTCCTACTAAAATACTATACTTAGATTAGTATTTAATCTTGATGTACTCGGTCTTTGATATGATTAAATCAAATTTCTCGTCATTATAAATATCACGAATACTAATCAAATAGTTGTCTGGTGCAATTTTCTATTTCGTCTATGCTAATGTATGCTTTACGCATGCACGCGTTAAAGAAATGTTTAATAAAGTAAACAAATAAATATTAAGCTTCTTTTTTGTAAATTTGATACCCTTTAGATCATAATTGCTCATTATTTTATAAATTACAGTTCATATTTTTAATTATAATTTCTGCATGCCATTTACCAGATTAAAATGATGATCTATAATCCAAAAAAATCAATAATCCGGATCGCCGAAATCCCGACGAGCCCGGATTAAAGCTTTGATGTATTAAAAAGCAGTTTTTAACAGCAGAGGATTTTGTGGAATAAAATTTGGGTATATCAGTAAAAATTTAAACTATTAGCCAAAACATGAGAATTTTTTTTTATTTTTTCACAAAAAAAAAAAATGAATAAAAGTTAATTAAATTTATATCTTCAAATCGTTGAATAAGGTTTATATTCATAGGTTTTTCTGACGTCTTATTCATGTTCATGTTTAATAGTAATGAATGTAAAATAAACTGAAACTTCAAATAAGTAAAACATAGAAATTTTTGCTTCATTGTATTTGCAACAAATGCATAACTGAAATACATTCGCCGACCCCCATCAAATTGCTTCGGGGGCTGCCAGTTTGAAACCACTGTTATAGACAATGTTCAAATTGCACAAAAATAATACTTTAGGATTTAACTTTTCATGGAATAAATACAGACAAATTCAAATAACCTTATCCTATTCTATTTGATTGGTCTCTTTCTGAAATTTAAACAATTGCATAACATCGTGAAAGGCCATAGAAGCGCCTGTTATAAATCTTGTTTCCTTGCAATTATGCAATTCAGGATTACATTTCTTTGGTTATCTACATGAAAACTATTTTCGCACTTAAACAAGAAAAAAAGAATAAAAATAACCCTCTTAGCCTTATTAATTAAAATTATGTGCGTAAAAGAATCTAGAATGGAAAATATAAACCTGACTGGATGATTGAATAGGCTGGAATACATTTCGATAATGCAATATTTGGCATATTTTATTTTTTAAACTTTCATCTTTAACTATGTGATATATATTGCATTTTCATGATCATTACTGCATTTATATAAAGAATTTGTTTTCAAACAAATACAACCATTATTACAGATAACTGTTCAAATTAATGGTAAGAATTAAAAAGAGAAGTATGAAAGTTAATAATGCTGCAGTTACATATATATATATCATAATATAAAATACTAACGAAAAAAGTACGTAGATTTACTTAATCACAACAATAAGTAATCGTTTACAATTTGTTCTATGTGTATACATTACCATCTCAATGAAAACGCTACACTTTGCCTTGAGCGATTTTTGCCCAGCAGAGCTTCTTCCCCAATATTAGGCTAAAGAGGGAATTTTTGGAAAGTGCTTTTTGACGCCATTTCTCTCTTGGCGTCAAAAAAATTCCTCCCAAGGATAAGGAGATTTTTCGCTGTTCAAGATGGCAGAAAAAACTACACCAAGTGCCGCTTATCTGAGTTTTCCCGTAACCCTCACTAAGGCTGATGAGACATTCATGTGAAAGTCACTGACGAACAGTTACGACTTGGATAAAAGTGTCAACAATTTAACATTCTATGAAATCATCTGGATAGCAGCACATGGACATTCATTGTTTTTATGCCAATTAGATCTAATAATTATGAATTTGTGACAAGCTTACAATGACAAGGTTAAGACAGAGTTTAATATGTTTGCCATTAGGTTATGTTTCAGCTTTTTTACAATGTCATATATATTTTTCTTTCTATGAGTTTATAAGTTTATACAACACAAATTTCACAAGTATGATTATCTTTTTTAAACCATCAATATTGGATAAAGCAGTATCCTGGGCAGGCATCTCGGGACATTTCCCAAATCCTGATAATCATCCCTGCATGAGTTAAAATATCTATAATTGATAAATAAATTGCAGAAATAATCGATTTTACCTATCTAAATGATGTGATCATATGGTCTACAAAATGGCCAAATATTATGTGAATAGGACTTGCATTTTATACATATATTTATATCATTTTAAAAGCAATGAAAAAGTTAAGCATTAAGAGCAACTTTCAAGCAAATTAAAAATGATTTTGAAATTTTAGTTAATGTGGCTATTTACAGACATATGTAAATAATTCGATACTTGCATATTATTGCACCTTAACTCTGAAGTTGCCAAATTTTCAGAAGGTGCCAAACTCCGGAAACCATGCACATAACTGTTCCTCAAGTAACCATTCAACACAATTCTTTGGTCAAGTAACATCACCATTTTTATATTTCTTCTTTTTTTGCTATATTCCAAATTCCAATGGTTTTTATTGACAAATCGAGTTCCCCCCCCCCAAAATCGATTTTAAAATATACATTTGTGAAAATTGTCAGCAAGTAAGAGAAAGTAAAAATTTCTGCAGGAATACAGAATTTTGTCCCAGAATCGCTAAAGACAACAATGAGATTTGCTTGGTACATAGATGGCAATGCTGAGTTTCTGCAATTCTCTGATTTTTCTTAAGCTAAAACAAATTGCTATGTATGTAGAAAGAAGAACAACACGTAAAGATTGAAGAAAAGATTTTTTTTTTTTTTTTTACATGTCATATAATCATTATTTAATAATTAAAATTTGCAATTTAAATTGTTGAAGTGAGCTTTTTTTTTTTTTTTTTTTTTTTTTTTGTATGTTGGTGTTTTCCGACTTATAATAAATACTAGCGGTTTGGGAATCTTTTTAAAAAAAGTTGCAAAAATCATAAACTTGCACCAAGGAGGCTACTTTAATACATAAGTACCAATAATTCTTGGAGCTAATGATTCAACAAAATATGTTAGTACAATATATCAATTTTAGCCTTTTCTATGATGTTCTGAATTTTTCCCTCAGATACAAAAACAAGTGTTTTAATAAGCACACAAACAAACATTTCATAACATCCATCATGGGATTTAAATGCATCTAAGTTTTAATTTAAAGCAGGAATAGCACAATAATAGCAATTAATAATGAAGAAAGTTTTTCATTTATGTCATGAATAATGCAATAGCTTTAAACTGAGTTTATCATTAATCTTAGCCTACATGTGCTCCTCAGAAAAGAGTTAAAATATGAGAGATTTTTAATATTTTACTGGCAACAAAACTATTTCTTATACTTTCACTCAAATCCTCTAAAAATATTGTAACCATGGACTAGATGATAAGATTTTTTACTAAAACAAAATTATCTGACACAAATTCAACTTCAAAAAGCATAAATTTAGTAAATTATATATTACCATCAATCGTTTCCTTTTTCACTTTAACATCAGGTTCAGAAACTTTGTTTTCTTTCACATCTAATTCATCAGCATCACATTTACATAATTCATCTGTGGAACATATGTCTTGGTTACATGAAGTGTAGCTTGATTTGTCATTGGTTTCACATGCAGTTTTCATGTCTTTTGATTCTGATGAATGTGAATGGCCATGATCACCCTTCACAATTCTGACAAATTTTTCCACCATAAGAAACACAACAATACCAGCCAAAACTCCCAGTCCAACCGTAAGATCATGTCCAGCTATCTCAGAATCAGTATTGACATGAGAATGAGAATGTGAATGTGAATGAGAATGTGCACTTCCATCAGAACTGGAGAGGGCCAATAGAGCATGAGGAATAAGATGCAAGAATGCATCACCCAGAAGTCCTCCAGATGCAAAACTTAATAATACTTTCAATAAAGGTTTATGTTCAGCACGATTATCAATAGGGATGAAAAATAATATGACAAAAGGAGCAGCACTTATGAGTAAAGTAGATCCTAAAGATAAAGACCACAACGTCATTGCACTTCTAGTTTTAATTTTAGAGCTCATATGGGAAGTCTCAACTTCATCGGATGCATACGGTTCGTTAGCTTGCTTAGAATATTTAAATGAAGGTTTTTCGTCATGTGTGTGAGAATGACCGCCGTCATGACTATGTTCATGGCTCGCAATAAACGTAAATAAAGATATAAAAATTAGGAAAAGTAACAGTTTGCCAACAGGGAATGACATCTGAAGTTTCATAATAATATTTCGCTATTTGCAAGACTGTAATTAAAATATTGGCGGTTTCCTGGAATTACACTCTCGTCGCAAATAGGGTGACGTGTTGTACTCCTCCTCAGATCTGCATTACTCTACTAAAACAGTTGACAATCGCTGAACGCCGACACTTGTCATACAGACAGACAGACAGAGTAGACAAATGTCTTGATTTGCACCCGCTAAGTCTTTCTGCCCCAAAGTGTCACCAGTTAGCAGTAAAAACCCAATTTATGTATACAATAAATTTATGACTCAATTTATGTGTATGTCAAATAAGCAGAATCACAGTGTTATTGTCCCCCGTATTATATTTATATTAGTATTAATACGAATTAATTCAGGTTTTAAAGTCATAAAAAGTGTATATATGAAGAACTGCACAATTTTATGAAATATATATTTTCTGTCAAGACAGATCTTTTAACCACTTTGAACCTTTTCGTAATAGAAACTTGGTTAGTTAAACTTCTGGTAATGCTTCTTTTCAATTAAGATTTTTATTAATTAAAATTTAAAATAGCCGTACATCATATTATTTTTATAAATTATTCTTTGGCATCACATGTACATCTTGTTTTGAATCAAGTCTGGTGTATGTGTGTACATGTCCATTCGAAACCGAAAGTTCTCTAATTAGCTGTACTGTTTTAGACTGTAAAAATGAGTTCTGAGGAACTAAATACTACCTCCACGATTAATTTTATTTTGGAAGGAGGTGCGTATATTTATATTAATTGTTTCATAAATGAAGTTGTGTGAGTTCTTTGTTTTATTCTATTTTAATTTCAGACAAATTTTTAAAACTTAGTCATAGTGATGTCATGGAAAAATAGTAAAATTTTAGTGGTATGTTGAAGACAGCTTACTTGGTGTTTAGTAAACGAAACGGGATATGAAAATACCTCATTACAAACTCATTTTCTCTTAATTCATAAAAATATAACCTACTGTTATCTTTTAGGAAGCACTTCCGCAAAGGATCCGTTAAATGTAAACATTGCCAAAAATGGCGATAAACGTCCATAGCTGGTAACCCGGCGAATTGGCAACCTGGTTCGCTTTTAGAAAGAGAATACAGTCAAAAGTCGTTAGTCGGGACTTCGGCGATTCCGGATTGTCGATTTTTCCGGATTATAGATCATCAGTTTAAATCTGGTAAGATGGCATGCAGAAATTATAAAATTAAAAATATGAAACCTTAATTTAGAAATAAAGAGTCATTATGATAAAGGGTATCAAAATTTACAAAAAAAAAAAAAAAAGTACAACTCTAATATACGCCCTAATTTCACCAAATGTGGCGATATGTGTTCTGTGCTGGTTTTTGGCGCAATTGTGTGTTCTACGGCAACCCTGTTGACGTTGAAAAATCTTTCGCTGGAGCTCGTTGGTTCGCCTCTGTGTCTGAGAAGATGGCATCCCTCCATCCAGATAAAATGGTTGTTGAATTGAAGTTCGGCAAAAGGAAATATGATTGTGGCTATCCTGTTGAGGGGTAGTGGGTAATTGGAAGTGTGGAAAGAGGGTATGGGAGATTATTTTTAATGGCAGTGCATGATAGAAGTAGGGATTTGTGATTTTATTTATTTGTGAACCATAGTATAAATTTTCTGGATAGTGTGTCTGGCTGTCATGTAAATACTATAGTGATTACGTGGCGGCATGTTAAAGGCGGTATGAAATTTATATTTCTGCTGTTGATCTTTACATTATGGTAACTTGGCGATTTTTTGGCGACCAACTCTCCCACAGCAACCCTCTATTTTTTTTTTTTCCCGCCGCCATTTTGTCTTCACGAAGTAAAGACATGTTCTTTTCTTTTATCTACTGAACACTTCTTCCAACAATCTACTAGCCGAATTACACTTATGCTAGAAATTTTATCTAACAAAACTGCTTAATCATGACAAATATTCACTGCAAAATTGGGAAAACGTGCACAATACCATACTCCTTACGCGTTTTTCAAAATAACACATACACATAAACCATGTACTTATTTTTACTTAAAAACTTTTCGACTTTTTAACTTTTACCAGATCAAGTAAACTCTCATAGGTACATTGTGGAGAGGTTGACAAGTTAGGAGATAAAGCAGTTAGGTTGATGCAGAAACTAGCGAGAGCATTGGTTTGCATTTTGAGACAAATCTCTAATTGTTAGAAAAGATGCTTAAAGAGAAGGAAATCGATTGAAACTAGCCAAAATGTTTGGGAAGGCTTCAAATTAAAATGACGGATAAATATTTTGTTGAGTGTTGTTGTTATTTTGTTACAAAACATAAATGTTTTGTAGCTTTTAATGTGCAATTATCCTAATATCGTTTTAGAATCAACGTTATAAATTACATGTATTTTAAACTGTGAAATTTGATTAGATTTTAATAGGGCTTTTTTTAACAAATATTGTTAAAAATAAAATTTAATTGTGGCCATGTAAATCCATAATGACTAAGGTTATCTAATCACCTAATTTAATTATTTATAACTAACTGCTTACCCTTAAAAATTATCTCTACGTATTAAAGCGAGTTATTGCCTTTCATTAATACTCACTGAGGTCACAAGATAAAACACAAAAAACGTAAAAATTCAAGTAAATCTTATTCTTTGAATCTAGTGAGACTTAAAATAATACAAAATTACTTATCATCTCTGGTTTTTTAATGGCTTATTGGAACCTTAAAGTATATTAACTGGGTTACAACCCCTGAAACTCTACACGAAGCTACGACACGAACTGCATCAAACAGAGCCCGACTAACTTTCAACACTTGCGAACCTACATCAGGCCTTTCAGGTTTGTTCTAATGAGCAGGTCTCTCTCTAGACAAGCAGCAGCAGTAACAACATTCAGTCTTTTGTTCTGAATCATGCTGATTATGATCTTACTTCTCATTTTAACCTATGCCGTTTGACATAAAATCTACCTGCTATTTACTCAACCTCTAGACTGACCAAGTACATGACAAAATGAGACATTTAAAAGAATAAAACATAAAGCTAACTGTGGGTAAAACTTAAATGTCACTTATCTTCTTTCAAATATGTCCGTCTGTTGTAAGTGTAAAATATTTAATGCTATTTGATAAATTGCATAAAGTTTATTTTATTCTCAAACTTTTTAATAATTATGTTAATTAATTCATGTTTAGTAATAATGCAGACTACTTAGAGATCTGTTTTATTTTTAGGATGGTATCACGAAAGTGAAATTCAGGCATAGATAATATTTTAATTGAATTTATTCAGTTCCTGTTTGCTCATAGATCCTTAATTTTTTCATTAATGGTCCTTAAAAGTACTTAATTTCCGTGTGCAGAAATGTGTACGAACCCTGTATAACGACAATGTTGAATTGGCCATTTTCGATGTAACTTTTCTCAAAATCTGCTGTAGATACAAGCTTGAAATTTTTTCTGTAATTAAAGTATACCTATCTGATTATACTGAAATGAGCTTTTGAAGCATTTTGAATTTTAAAATAAAATACAGAATATTTTGTTAGGCATAATAAAATTTAGCACTTTTCTCACACAAAAAAATTAAAAATTTTTTTTTCTAAGTTTATTACAAAAAGCTCATTTCAGTAAGTATTAGGGAGCCTAATGAATAAGCCATAAAAAGTTTAGATACCTGTGAGCAGTAGTTCTTGGGAAAAGGTACATCGAGTATAAAAAAATCACGTTTGGAGAAAAATGTGCTTTTATGTAAAAATCCTCATTGATCAAAGCAGTAGATGACAAATTAAAACTAATTTTTTTTACAGTTTTAATTTTCATAGAGATTAAAGAATGGTATTTTTAGAAAGATAAAAGTGTAGAGAATTTGAAAATGCAAAAATTCGAAATCACAATTTTTTGAAGATTTTGGGGTTCCAACACCCCTTAATGTCAGACATAAATGTTGATGTAAAATCAACTAGATGGTGGCAACTCTATTGATACATAAAGCCTGATGAAAAGCATAACTATTTTTATGTGTTATGAATATAATATTTATAACATTTTATTGCAATACCAGGAATGTATGCAATCAACTTGTGCAGTTTTCTAATGTATTTTAAGTGAAAACAGTTTTTGGTAGTATTTATTATTATTTTTTTATTATTATCCAATCTGTTTTCTCCCTCAAAGTGATTGTCATATTCATTTCATTTATGCATTATTTTTCATAGGTCTTAAACTTAGATGCATATCATCGACAATTGCAAAAGCAATGCTTTTTGCCCATCAGTTCATACGATGTGCAGATAAAGTTTCATATGATCCAGCTGTAAGTAGAAAATAATTTCTTGAATTCACATTTAAAATTTAAATTCTTTTGGAAAATGTCATTTTTATTTGTTTTTGTGCTTTTAAATTGAAGTTTATTTTAATTGATCTTAAATTATGGGTACATGGTTGGTAATTTTTGACAAACTTTGAATTATTGACAGTTATAATGAGTGAAATATCACAGTTATGGCTTTCAAAAGTTTAGTGCTTGTATATATTCGAATATGTTATAGTTATTTTAGTTCATGCCTGATATCGACACAGTGTGAAAATATCATCAGACACTGGTACATTCAGAGTCGTAGCTAGGGTTTTCAGCGCCCAGGGCCAGCTGAAGATTTCGCGCCCCCTACTGCATGCCAAGGATGGAAAACATTTAATTCTAAAATGTCGTAACATCAGTTTGGCGCCCCTTGGATTCTGCGTCCGGGGACAGATGCGCCCCCTTGCCTCCCTCTAGCTATGCCACTGGATACATTGAAGGAAGCTGTTGAATATATGTGTATTCCTCCTGTCACCCCACTCCCCCCCCCCGAAAAAAAGACTATGCCTCACAGTAGCTTCATGCAGATTTCCCTCAGTTCTGCCTTACAGGTAAGCTGTGAAATACATAAACACATTTGCTTTCCTGATTATTGCTAACTTGTTCAGTGGATTGTGTAGGATAAAATGCTTTCACCAGAGGACCAACTGATGGTAAAAAGTTCCAAAATATATATTTTACCTTTTAATTCTAAACTTCATTTGTGAAGTGAGCTGAGCAGTATTCAAATGGTTAATGCTGCCTTAAAATCCTTATAGTTTACTTCATGTTTCTATCAGTTTAGGAAGCTGTCTAAAGTGGTTTATGATTCCCAGTATTGATGATTCTTAATTGCATATGATAAGAGTGAACGGATCTGTATCTGTTTGCCTCATTTTGAATGAAACACCATTATTTAGCTCTGACCCTGGACTTTTTCCCATTTCTTCAGAAGATCCTTGATGCTTCAGTATGAAATTTTCTCCCTTATCTCTGAGAAGAAATTTTTAGTCTATTGTGTGCTTAGAAGATTTTAATCCCCTAGTCCAGAGATCAGCAGCCTTTTTTGATAGAAGGGCATATTTCAGGAATGCAGAAGTTTGGTAAGCCCTACAGTACTGATCAAATGTCTCTTGACATTAAATTTTAGTGCACTTGTAATTCAAATAATTTCTGAAATGACAAGTTCATGTACAAACAAGGTTGTAAATGTGAACTGTAGCTTTCTGTGGTTAGATAGAATGTAGAAGGATAATTAGGACAGAAAATATCTCATGTTACATGAAATCTGTTTCTGGCCATCAGATATTGATTCATCTAGTCATGTAGTGTTAACTGGATGTCACTAAGATTCAATTTTTATTTAAAGGTTTTATACTATTCACACAGATGTTAAAATGATAAAGATAAAATGAGAACGTTTACTAAAATTATTTCTTATAATTTTGAGTATTTTGTTGTCCAAGTATCTAAAATTTAGATATTTGAATATAGCAGGCAGTTTAAAATTGCTTTGCAGGCATTGGCTTGTCACTCTTATCTTAGTCCTTGGGTCATCTGCAGGTTTGCCAGGATAATCTATAGGCTACGCATTCCTTCAATTCATAAAAGAGCTACAGATTCTTTGAATCATTCTTCTGTGCAGCACAGCTTCCGATCTTTTTTTCCCAGATCCTTTATATCACAGGAATAGATTTTTATAATTTCACAGATGTTAAAACCTTCTGAATTCCCTTAGGTAAATTATTTTATTTATTGTAGCTTTTGCTGTTTGTAAAGCCAATGATTAAACGAATTATTTTTTAAAAATAGGCTTTATATTAATTTATACATTTGTAGCATTTATTAGTGTTCATTGTATTTTTGTTTCATAAAATATTGCTGTTTATGAAAACCACTACTAAGGAATGAATTCAAATAATTTTACCTGATCTTCTGATACCTAGAAAAATTATCTGTTTCTAAACTTAACACAATAATAGAAAATACACAGTCAGTAAATACACAAAATGGGTTTAAAGCATTAAGGGAAGCACTTTCATCAAAGCATATATTAGATGTGAGGTAAATTGCTTTGTTAACATCCTTTGTAACTTAACTCAGCATCAACCTTAAAACTGACTTTGATTTCACAGCTGTGAAATTTAAAATGTGTTAGATTAGTTATTAGGTATTGAATTAAATTGTGAATCTCTGTTTTCTTTGGCTAAATTTGTGTGTGGAGGAGATTTTCACTCTGTGGAAGTCGCTGTTTCTTCAGCACTTCTCACTCTGTGGAGTTGTTGAGTGCATTTTTCACGTTAGCTGGCATTACCATTTGGAGAGCCATTGCCACTGATAATTTGGCTACCTTCATCTTTTGAAGTACTCATGTTATGGCACTTACATCCTGTGGCCTTGCTGTATTGCCAGTGCAGTTGTATCAATCAAGAGCTATCTTTCTACAGTATAATGCTTTTCATACATAGCAAACATTTTTCAGGAAGTATCTGCACATTAAAATCCCTCTGTGCTGTTTCAGATCTTCAGAGCCTTTCTCAACCGAATGTATATAGGACATGTTTAAGATGTTAGTTACTGCTTTTCATAATATATATGAACTTCCTTAGTAGTTTTAGAAGCAGCTGGCATCAAATTCTGCAGAACAACATTTGATAGTCAAGTCCATTGCAGAAAAACTGTTTTAATTCATTACTTATACGTAGAGAAAGATATGCATAGATACATTGAACTGTTAACTTCAAAATCAATATTAAATCAATAAAAAAGAAGTGAACTGCATTTGGTACAATTTCAACGTTGATTTATTATATCATACCAACTGCTCAGACAGAAGATGGAAGATATTTTGAACAGGATAGAAGGGCGAAAATAATTTAAATCTGAGAATTTTAAGAAACCTGTTCTGAAGGAAGTCTTTGTAATAAATTTTTGACACTGAGTAGATAGTCTTTGTGTACTTTACCACATTTGGTTAAACAAGCAAATAAACTATACTAAATTACTGACTTTCTAATTAAAATGCCTGTACCAAATATTCATCTCTCAAACATTTCCTGAAAGCTGTGATATGATTCGTCCTCTAAAGCTTAAATTGTCTGTTAAACTATTACCTCACTACTTGTGACTTTCAAATTAAAATAATGCAAAACAAAACAAGTTTTCTTGACTTTTCAGCAAATGGCTGCAACATACTATTTCTAACTGGCTACTATATTAGGATTTTTACTCAAGACTTACATTTGGGTTCAATGGCCTAAATCTAAAATAAAACCTCACTTACTAACACAGAATAATTTCTAGCAATATTCTTAATCTAGCAGCAGTTTTCTGATGCAAGGCAAGGTTGGTGGTTGAGAAAACAGCCAGATGTCTCTTGCTCCTTGTTGCTCATGTACTGTATGTAATGCAGTTGTGATTCTTCTTATTTAGACCATGCAGCTTACCAATCATGTCTCTCTAAACTGTGAGCTAAGTAAGTACATGGTGAAACGAGAGGTAAAATAAATTTTTAGCTCTTACGTAAACACAAATGAAACATCACTTTATTTTATAAAAATAATTTTGCTGTTATATAAGAAATAGAACTTTTCAAATTTTGTAATATGTAAAACTCCTTTGTTAGTAAATGAGATATTTTAAGCATTAATGGTTTTAGTCAGGTTAGAGTAGTTATCTGAGAGCATGATAATGTAAATATTAATACCAGTTTATTTTCAGAGTATTGGTAATTTTTAGAGGATCCTCAAGAGAGGGTTCCTTGTAGTAATGCACTCGTTTGCAGAATTAAGAGAATTTGCACATTAAATTTCTGAAAACCTAATGGGCAGATTTTAATGAAATTTGCTATGAATATACATTTAAAATTTGTAATTATTGAACTGAAATTTAGTCTACTATGGTTATATGGTCACCTCTCACAGCCAGACAAGTCATGTAGTATGATGACATAATAGGTAAGAGAAGTCCCTGTGTCAGTTGATCTCTCTCCTCCAGCAAGTCAGTTTTGAACTCTGGGATGGTTCTCAGAGGGGGATGGTGAGATGAAATTGCCTGTCCAAGATCATCCCAAACATGCTCTATGAGGTTAAGGTCTGGAGATCAGGCTAACCAGACCATGTTGCAAATATTTTCACTTTCCAGATAATCACCGACCAGCTGAGCATTATGTGATTGAGCATTGTCATCCATTAACAGGAACACAGTATCAGATGCACCTCTGAAATGTCGAACATAGGGCTTTAAGATCGCTTCTGTATACCTCATAGCAATAAGGCAGCCTTTGTCAAACACATACAGGGTGTATGTGGCCATCCAAGATAAAACCTGTACCACCATAATGATCCTTTTCCCCGATCAAGGAAGGATGGTATCTTATTCCAGGCTCTCTCCAGATACAGGTACACCGACAGCCAGTGTCCAGGCTGAATCATGAATCATCTCTAAAATGTACGGTGTTTCTTTGAAGTCTGGTCCAAGGCACATGTTGTTTGCACCATGCTAAATGCACTCTTTTGTAGGCTACAGTGAGCAGAATGCAAACAGCAGGTCTTTTTTCATTACAGCCTTATCCCTTCACTTCAGACAACTATAGACCTTGAAATTTGAGTTCCAGTGGCAATGTACAGCTCACATGGAAGCTGTGAAGCTGTAGTAGTTCTGTGTTGCTTCATTGAAAGTGCCAAATAACAAGCCTCATTCATCATTGTGAATCCTGGTTTACCTTGTCCAGGTCTTCTTGATGTGGATCCACTGTCCTGAAACTGTTTCTACAAATTGTAGACAACACTGGGCATTACATTGAGCTCTGTTGCCACCAGCTCAATTTGATTGGCTTCTAATGACAATTCTCCATCTCATTCTGTCATCCATATGTTTGGGCAACTCATTTTACCTGATACCTTGTAAAATTTATCTAACTCTTGAGAAGAAAGAAAACAAAGAAACATGGCAAATATCACGAAGCACACAAATTGCCCAAAACCTCTCATCCTCTTACATCCCTTTCACAATCACAGCTCTGCATATTTGCACAATTAATACTTTATATTAAATACTTTTTGTAAAAATAAACTTCAGATTTCTTAATTTTGCATACAAACATATAATTGTTCTGGATCTATGTTTGTTCAGGAAATAGATTGTTATTCAGTTTTTAATTTTCTTTACATGTATCTCCTTACTGCTCATATCAAAATTTTACTGGGATGAATTGATGATTGAATGAAATGTAACGCTCTTAAGTGAACCTAGTACTAGATTATTGTTATGGTAAATATAGTGAATTTTAAAAAGCGTATTTATTGTATTGTGGTTTATATGCTATGGACGAAGTAGATTTAATTCAATTTAGTAAGTTTAAATGAAATGCAGTCAAAAGTCTTTAATCCAGTCTCGTCGGGACTTCGGCGATTCTGGATTATCGATTTTTCCGGATTATAGATCATCAGTTTAAATCTGGTAAGATGGCATGCAGAAATTATAAAATTAAAAATATGAAACTGTAATTTATGAAACAAAGAACAAATATGATTTAAAGGGTATCAAAATTTACAAAAAAAAGTTTAATATTTATTTGTTTACTTTATTAAACATTTCTTTCAACGCGCGCGTGCGTAAAGCATACATTACGCATAATCGAAATTAGAAAATTGCAACCAGAAAACTATTTGATGTGTATTCGTGATATTTATAATTACAAGGAATTTGATTTAAATCATATCAAAGACGGAGTACATCGAGATGAAATACTACATTTAGTAAGGAATTATAAGCCAAATAAAATAAAAACCTCTGCCCTGAAGATAAGGATAGTGCTGACAGATCAACTTCCAGTTCACTGTTTGCGGCGGTGCCCTCCCTCCCCCTGCAGAGCAGCGTGAAATCGATAAACATATTTCAGAATGATTAGAGAATCATAGGATAAGCCTTTATCCATTTTTTGCAGCAATTCCACTTTTTGTTTGATGGACATCGGAACATGCTTTCGCTTTGTAGATCCTTTGGTAGCTCCAGAATCGGAAATTCTTTTTGACATAATCGAAAGTTTAAGCTTACTTTTATAAAATTGCTCTAACAGTCTGCAAAAAATAATAAGTCGGATCCAATTAAGGAACAATGCAATCTGCAACATTAACTGAAATAGGTAATTAGATAATTTTAGCTTAGCTTATACCGTCCCTTATACATTAAATGCGCATGCGTAAAGGTATTACGAGCATGCATAAAAATATTTCGCGCATGCGTGAACGCATTATGCGTTGACGCATGCGCTGAAAGTTTGTAGCTTTGAGGTCCGGATTAACGACTTTTGACTGTAATTGAATATTCTGTACAAGGAAGTCATGTGGTGTACATGTGAGATTTTTTTTATTTTCTTGTACAAAGTAAAGGAAGTATTGTAATCTCAAAAAATTCTGGGTATCTTTTTTCAACAAAAATATCTGTTTTGACCGCTATCAAATGCAATTTAATGATGTTTTTGCATGATGTTTGTAAGTAAGGACAGAATAAAGGACTCTTTTTCCCCAAATGGATTATGAAATTGATTTAAAAATTGATTCAGAAGAGATTTTTTTCGTTACGTCTGTACGTGTGTATGTATCTTGCATAACTCAAAAACGAGTACCCTCAGAATTTTGAAAATTTGTATATAAGACTGCTATAACATGTAGTTTTGCGCTGCCTTTTTCGGTTGTAATTGGCAACACCAAAAGTATATAAATATATATATGCTATATATACACACACTTTGTTACTTGGCTGAGTGAGTTCAGTTTTTTTTTTTTTCCTTCTTTTATTCTTATATGTTGGTAAACTGTGTATTTTTTGCTTTAAAAATGATTGAATTATGTTATTCTTATTTTCTGGTTAAGGCTTTTATGCCTTTAATTAATCTACTTGCATGCAATAGTTGTAGAATTATTAACAACTGAAAAGTTTTAAGTGCTGCTAAGCCTAATATTTGTTTACCATAACAACTATATTTGTTTACATTTCAAACTTAGCAGAATAGTGAATTAAGCCAGTTTCTGCACCGTCAATGTTTTTTGTCAAATGAGACCGAAAGTAAACTTTGTTTTGTGCATCGAAAAATCTGCATTGTTGCCTCCTGGGCGAAATGCTTGTTTTTGCATAATTCTATTTTAATCGTAAAAATTGTTTAATTGTTGTCTATATTTAGCATTTTATATTTTTCTGTATTTTTAAATTTTTTTATTTCTTTATTTTATTTTATTTTATTTTTATTTAAAATATTTTGAGGTTTTATGCATTTTTGCCTTACTGGGAAGTGAGAGTTTAATTAATTGAATGACAAATCTATCTTTAATGAAATTCGAGAAAATAAGTTTAAATGAAATGCAGCAAAAGAAGTGTATAATTTAATCTTTGGTACAAGGAAGTCATGTGGTCTCTGCATCAGATTTTTTTTTTGGAAGGGTGGCATAAAGGGTACTTTCAGAGAAAATGTTTTGCAGAAAAATTTTACTTTGCTTGTTTACTATGCTTGTTTCTAAATCTTACCATGATTTACAGATGCTTGCTGCTGCTGCTCTGTCTTTGAGTTCTCGTTCATTTGATGAAACCTTAAATGAAACAGAGGTGGTACTAACATTTTACCAGTAAGTGACGTATATTTAAAAATATTTTCATTTCTTAGAAAAAATTATCATGGTAATTTTTCCATAAATTCCATAGCTTCATAGAAATAATTTCTTATGCATTTATTGTAATATATTTTTAAGTATTATAAATTTAGCTGTTTTTAAGAAACCTGAGCATGTAAAAATCTTGCTTTTTAATAAACTGATACCCTTAAGATTTTGCAAAAGCTAGTAATAGCTTTGCCTTATTTTATCCGAATTGTATGTGGGCTTCTCTTAAAAAAATTGTTTAAAAAATCAAATTAGCAATTTATTGTACAGTCAGGGGAAAAAAAAATGTTGCTGTGAGTATTATCTATGGCCGAGTGGCAAAGATAGCTGAATACTGGTAGTTTACCCTAATCTGGGTTCAATCCCAGGCAAACAGGTTTCCTGCATGGTTTGTTTTCATGGTTCTTTAACATGAATACAAGCTAGTTTTCCTTAGAGTGTCCTTTACAAAGGCATGTATTTTAAGCAGATAGCCCTGATGTCTTTAATGTATTCAAATAACTTGACCTAGCTTTGTTACTATAAAAACTGAATACAAAGTATTTGTGTAAAACCAATTTAAGTCATCATTAATTTTAAGAAATTGTACCATTTCTCTTTTGGATAATTTGAGTTTCTTATAATCTTGGCATTTCAAAATTTTGTTTCTAATTTATTTCTGAACAATGACATATTAGAAGTATAAAAAGCAGGAGCATGATTTAATAACTTTTTTGGAGACTCTTTGCAATGAGCAGTTTCATATTCTCACTCATTTATGGAAAAGAAGAGAGCACATAGCAGCATTATAAAAATTCACTGAATGTGTGTTAGTTTATAAAATTTTTAAAAAATCAAGAAATAGTTAAATTCATATAAAATTATCAAAATAATTTCATAATGTTAAAAAATATTTACAAGGTAAAGTAAAAATTGTGTAAGCGTGTACTGAAACTGTAGTCTGAACTTGGTATGCATATTTTAGTTAAGTATGTAAAATAGTTTTAAGTTAAGCAATTATGATAGACTTATTAGTTTAAGAATTATTCTCCAAAAAAATTAAAGATTTAGAATATAAAGCAATTCATAAGCAATTAGTATTTAAAACAATCTTTTAAAAATAGTATTGCTAAGTGTGGGGAAAAAGTCTTGATATGATATTATTTAATAAATTGCCATATCAGATTTATGGTTTTGTTTAAGGAAGGAAAAGCTTAATTATTCAACATAAAGCTTTGTAAATATTGGTCCGCCTGCACATGAAGCTTGCAGCAAATATTTGTGTTGCGTGACAATATTTTAAAAATTTATCAAGATGCTAAATGTATGCATTGAAAACAATAGAAAGTATTTTTTATATTTGGTAAATATAAGAATATAATTAATATTTTAGTCCTCACAATGTGAACATATTTCATTGTTAAAAAATTTTGCTGGAATACAAATTAAAGGTTCATAAATTAAGAAGTACTTTATCTTATATTCAGTAACATGCATGCATTTAATACTGGGCTAATTTCATGGAAAACCCAGAACCGATGCCAGAGCTCATATGGCGAGCCAGAGCTTGTATGCTGCACTGGGCGGCAGAATTTACTGAAGACAAGATTTTTGGAATTTAGAGAATCACAATCAACAAAATTAAAGGATGAAACTATTTTTATAATTTAGGGAAAGCACTGTGATCCAAAATTTAGGGGATGCAAAAATTTAGAACTTAAGCGGTTATTAGCACAATTAAGTACCCGCAGAGACTGCATTAGGTGGTATGATATCTAGCCCAAGCCTTCAAGAAGCCTTACGTATATGTGGGAATTTATTTATTTCAGGATTCAGATAAGCCATAAACATGTGAAAAAGACTCAAGTGTAATAAGTAACTAATACAATCAGGCTTAATTGTCTCAATACGTATTAGAAGCAAGACAAAATTTAAAAGACAACTTGTCTTTCATCCCCAATCTTGTGATACATTATTGCTATGTGTAGCTTAAGCTAGGCTAAAATTATACTTTAGTGATTCCAAGGAATTTCAGCCAATATAACAGATTGTGCTGTTCCTTAACTTTCTGATTTGATCCAGCTTAATTATTTTTTGAAGGCTCTTTTTATTACAGCAATTTGATGAAAATTAAAGTTTCAGCTTTTGATCATGTCGAAAAGAATTAATTCTGCAGTTGTTAACAGGCTGCACAAAGCAAAAGCATGTTTTGATGTGCATTATACAGAATGTGGAACTTACAGTTTAAAGAATGTATACAGAGATATTTGTTTTATTGCATGCATTAATAACATATTACAGATTTCATATTTAGTTTGCTATTTCAAGTAGAATTGTAATTAAAATTGTTCCATTTCCCCGTGCAATGCAGCACGGGACATATTTCAAGAGAAAGCTACGTCGAAAAAGTAAAAATACAGGAGCATGTGCATTTAATAAATAAATATCTCATAATTGCTTTTGCTTTCCAGAAACCTTGAGAAAGTGCTAGAAGCTTCTCATGACTAATTAAAAAGCTTATAAAAGCCAGAAAATAAAACACTTGCCCCAACAGCACGGCACATCGCTGCAACATTAAAAAATGTTGTAGGAATGGCTTAATGTCTGCTTTTTGCGACGTCACATTATGACATTGTTATCAAGTCACACTGTGACATGGATGCATAGTTGTGCTGTAGTCTTGTTGTGAAATTATACTGTGTTATTGTTATGAGGTCACACTGCGACATTCATGTAACAACTCATTTCGACTTTAATATAAAGCCATAGAGTGACATGAATGCAACATAATAAAGTGCCATGAATGCAGCATAATAAAGTGCCATGAATATACTGTCACTAAAGATGTAAATGGATTTCACACAACACTAGATTACTTTCTAAATGATTAGAGTGATGAACTCCTATTTTAGAGAACAGGTAACAACTACAATGTTTTAATGGTCCAGTAAGGTATACTTTTCAAGGTATTAAAATACTTCTGTAATATTCGAAATTTTTATATAATTGAAAATATCCAATATAATCATTTGAAAGTTTCTCATCTTACTGAAGTTGTATCTCACCCTACTAAGGTTATATAACTGTAACCCATTTATGTTAATTACACATCGGTATAAACTAGAATGTACGGAAAATGCAGAACGTATTACAATATATGTGATGCTAAAGTGATCATGTGGTCATTCTCTAACCGTATTACATTGCTAATACTTTTGAGTATAAGCTGTCTAGAAGCTACATAATTTTGCTTTCATTCTTTAGAATTTAATATTTAAAGACAGTTCATATGTTTCCAAAATTTCTAAATTGTATTAAAAATCTGAGTTCTTATTATAACTTATTAAAAATTTAATTTTATTTCTTAACACCTTCTCCCCCCTCTTTCAAAATAGAAATATTTCAAAAAATATTCTTTGGCTTGCAATGTTTATAATAACTATATTTCTTAATACCTTTTTTCTCCTCATTCGTTAAAAATCCTTTATTTAATCATCACATATGGAGAGTAAACACTTATTTTATACTGATTGAATGATAGCAGTAATATTTAATATATAACAATTGAAAATTTAAAAATTATTATTAAGAATGAAGCGATTATCAATGAGAAAAATACCAGAGATGCATGAACTTTATAGAAGCACGAGCAAAATCAATGAAGATTTTTTTTGCTATCCACAAATTTCTGCAAACGTACAATGAAATCAGGGCATTTGGAATTATTTTAATACGATTTTTCAGAGCAAAGATGAGGATTCAGAAAATGTGTTTTGATGTAAATATGAGGTTACATGAGATACAGACATACTTGCTATCCCTCTCCTTTAATATAAACACGATTCAGTTTTTTAATTTAAATAATATGAAGATATCATGTTACAATGCATACTTTCAAAAAGTTATTAATTTAATCTAAATGAATTTGTACAACACAGCCCTGCCTTTTTTTGGGTGAATCAGGCATTTGAAAGTGGTTGGGCACATATACTTTATAAATAAGAATTTGGAATGTAATAAAAATATTTAGCAGAAGCAATTATGAGATTAGTTTCAGATATTTAAATCTGACGATAAAGCCCTGATGCTTTCCTTTCTTTAAAGTACTTCAGTTTTATTTAAAGTTTTCATTTGATTTCTTTATTGAAATCAGAAATGATTTCAAACTGTTAAGATGTCAAAAAGGCATTAATACATGTTTTCAGCAATTATGTTATAGTTTTTTTACTAGACGAGAATTAAAAAAACAGTTTCTTAGTATACTTTTAACTGAAGAGAAATAGATTATTTGATTTCTTTAATATAAAAAAATGAAAACACAATGTGAAATGAAATATGAAAACACGTTTATGCCTTTTGTTTTAGAAACTACGCAATTAAAACTGAATTTTTGTTATTTACTTAAGTTCAAATTGAAATTGGCTGTATTTATGAAAATAAAAGTAATTCCACTACTTAATTTTATAGGAATAACTTTACAACTTTTGTTAAAATTAAAAAATAATGAAAATATAAAAGTCCTACCCCTTACATTGAAAGAAATATTTGTTTGTCCCACAGTATAATGCAGTGCAATTATACGGAGTTTTCAGAACCTTCGATTGACTCTCCAAGAATTTTTTTTCTGTTATAAAATTTCCAAAGAAATTTATTTGCTTATTTAAATGCAGCAAAGAATTGAGGTCTGTCCCAATAAAAAAGATTCCATGAAGTTATATTTTACCTTAAAATCAGGTTTTCTTCGCCTGTTTGGCAAAGACTTTACTTTAATTCATCAGTGTTTTATAATATGCGAATTTCCAAGTTATCACAATGAAATTTTAAAATTCCTTTGTGAAAGATTCCTTTCTTAATTTTTCTAAGCTTTTTAAATACGTTTGCAGAAATTAGTATCTTTTCAATGTCTGTTTCTGCAAATGATACATTCATTAAAGCAAAACTAGATGTGATAAGCTTAGATAATTAAATTAGACGTAATTAGAGGGTTAGATGTAATTTTTAAGTTTATAATAACAAAATAAAATATATTGTTTGCAGAAGTGAAATGTATTAATTTAAAATAAAATTATTATTTCAAATAAACTTTATCGGTGAAGCTTAAATATGCATTTCGATTTATAGTTATTTTCATTACATTTATAAAATTGTTTGCAATAGGTCAAATTTTCTTAAAATACAATTTTAAATTCGGTTTCTTTATAACATGAAGTAACTTGCACTTTTAGAGACAAATTAATATTAATTTATACTCTTTTGTCACAAGTGAAATTTTAACTTCCTTCATATATATGAAATGTAATTTCCTTATTTTTATATTGTTTTCATTTAAATAATTTATGTACCTATTTAAAAAATTAATACATAAATATATTCTTTTAATCTTTTAAGTAACAAATGCATTTGCACAGGTTTTCATGTTTTTCTTTAAAATGAATAACAGTTAGTTTTTTTAGAAAGTCCTCCACAAAGGCATCCCTTCTCTTAAGTAGGCAGTCTTTGTATGTTTTGCCATATTTAAATAATTTGACCTAAACTGGAAAATATTTTTCTCTAACTAAATCTCTTAATAAGGAAATTGGATTACTTTAACAACACAAATATGTGTAAAAGTGGGACATAATTTGCGGAAAAAAAAAGATCTGATATAATAAATTTTAATACTAATCTCGAAATTTACATATAGGAAAAAAGTAGAAAAGTTCAGTGCTTTAAAGTAATACACCATTTATAAAGTTATAATAATTAAAAAAAAACGTGTTCTCTATAACTAAAACGAGGTTATGAAAGTATGGCTTCATTTATAATGTGGTGGTAACCACACATGGAAGTAAGTAATTATTTTGTGAATAATTTCGAGAAATAGCTGAACTCGATGAAAGTACTGCACTTAAAAGGCATAAAATCAATTCTTTTTTCTCATTATCTTTTAACATTAAAAACAACAAAAAGTGAATTATATCTACCAAATAAAGACTCCCTAAGATAAAATTTCTAAGCAGCGAGACAAAAATAAGATGACTTTTGATAATGGTCCTTGCTTCTGTACTCTTTGTTATACAAATAAAAGTTAATCTACTGCCAGTATTTCTTTTTGTTTATAGCATTTAAATTACACTTTATTATTACATATTAATTATTACTGATATCATTCACTTCAATGTACAATAAACAGTGCTTACCTAAAAATGTAGCACAGACGATGTGTTCAGTGAACAGAACTAAAAAAATGGTCGCGAAAATCCTTAAGACAAACAAACGCTTTGCAGATAACAAACTCTTTCGTCAGTGTCTCTTAATAACACAAGATACGACAGAATGTGAATCCATTAGCCACAGAATATAGATCAATGATTTTGAAGTAGCACATCAATAAAAACACGCTAAAAACTGTTAGTATTTTTAATAAAAAAAGAAATAACTAAAATTGCAAGCTATTAGTATAAAAGAATCATTTATTTAGAAAGGTTTACTGAAACACATAGCAATGAATCGGGGGGGGGGAGGTCAGTGCGCAAGAATACCTCCCATTAAAGAATAAGAGAAAAACAACTGCTACCTTGATACTTGTTATCAAAGTAGTTTTCTCTCCAATAGATAATTTACCCCTAATAATTTAGATAATTAACTTGTTGCAATCATTTGCGAGGTTGAGACCTTGTTGACCAAAGATGTGCATTTGAGTGTTAACCATCGAAGTTTCAACTCTAATTAACACTCGAATGCCAATTTTTCGGTTTTATCCATTTCATGCACTCTGTGCGAGTTTGTCACTAAACTGATTGTGCAACATTTGGTCTCATTCATTCACACTCCTAACACTGTTGTAAGTTCAGATTGGAATTCTAATATTATTCTTTTCTGCCTCTGAGTGGAATGCGACCCTACGTTATATAATAATTATTACTCATCTGGATGAGTACTATCACCCCTCTTAATTTGTAAAAGTAATTTAAAATCGCCATGTATATATTAAAAAGCATATTAGCATTTGCTTACCACTTGGGTTGGTGTGTTCAGCTTATAGTTTAACTGTGATCCACAGTTCTGTCTCTTTCGACCATTTTTTGAAGATAGTTATGGCTGCCTATTAATATTCTAAAAATCGTAGATATGTCATGAATCAGCCATCTGGTCACTATGTGAAGAATAAAAATGATTAAAATTCCGGATTATAGATCATTCCAGATAATGGACGTCTCGATTACGGACTTTGTACTGTATTACCACCCTGTATTATTTTTAAAGAAACAATGAAGAAATTGGGTGTGTGTGTTTATGTTTCTTATATTGTGAAAAATGACGGTACCTGGATCCATCAAGTTTTAGTCCTCCTCTCAAACATTTGCATCTGGAAATACAAATTTTGAATTTTTTTTTATTAGTCACTCCATATTTTTTGTGAATTGTATGAATTTTTGATTAACACTCAACAATTCAAAAGCAAGTAGTAGCAGCAAAGTACGGAATAAAATAATTTCATCACCACATAAAACTATCAGAAATTATAAAGATATGATATTTTTAAACATTTTATGATTTTGCTGTTGAATTGAATTTTTTATTAAACATCTTACTAAGACAACTAAATATTGATATTACGAACTGAGAAAAGACTGAAAAAATAAAGTGTATGCTAACACTTAACAGTGCTTTATATGCTGCTATGCAGCTTTTAAAAATTTTGTGATTTTTGTTGTTCAACTGTGTGCAGTGTAAGTGCGAAGGAAACAATGCTTAATAATAAAGCTTGGGAGGGACGCAAGAGCAAGTATGTACACTGCAATCTTAGTGAGAGCATAAAAAACCTTAATAAATCACTTTTGATGACCATTAAATTCTGAAACCCTACATCTTCCCCCACACACATTCTTTAAGATTTAACACTGCTTTGAGTTATATTTTAGAAAATCATTTTTGATGAACCGTATGATAACATTTCTCATACTTGGGATTTAAAAAAATTGCTATTTACTGTTAAATATTTTCATTTGTATTTATTTTTTAATTAAGTTTTTTAATGTATTTAGTATGGTGAAAGGCGAATATTTGATGGATTTGTATAGTGAAACTAAAATTGACCTTGAAAAATCTCTGAAGATCACTGAGCTTTTCTTGTTCAGAATGCTGGAAGGTCTAACTTCGCACAATATCGCACATGAGGTAAAGAATTAAAACTTAAAAAATAGAGTGAATAAAGTATTTACTTAAATTTGTACTTATTACGTACTTTTAATGTTAATTTCTTTTGTAGTATTTCTTTTAAAAATTGTAGTGTAATTTTGTAATAAGCATGTTTGGATAATTATTCAAACATTTTTGCTGTTTCAGTTAAAAAATTAATATTAGTTTTATGTTCAGAAATGCATTGGGAACTTACATTTACTTTCTTCAGAATTTTTAGTACTTTGCTGATTATATGCACTTCCAATTTCAACATACAATAGAATTTCTGCAATTTTATTTTTTCATGTTTTCAAGTATGCATGCAAACAGTAACCAAACCATGCATGACCATATTATACACATTAGTTGATTTCATATGATAATTAAACATCTTTAAGTCTTTAGAGTTTTCAGAAATGATTTTTGATCCTTAAAGACTTTGCATTTATTTTATGGTTTTGTTTGTGCATTGTTTTCCTGAAATGTGTTTTTAACTTTCTTTCATTAATATTTGTTTGCATGTGCATTGTCTAATTTTTGTATAATTCATTTGACAACATCCTACTGTAGTTATGAAACATTGTTCTTAGAAATTGAAATGTAATTTTACTGCTTGTCTTTGCTTCACACTCTGTGAAAGGTAATAAATGCTCTCCTGGTTGTAAAATGTTGAATAAATTAAGTTTTCATGTGCTTTGCATCATTGACTGAATAATACTTTGACAAAAATTCCTTAATTTTTCTCATTGACATTTCCATCACTTTCCTGTTACTGCCATTCATTATCAAAATTAACACTTTAAATGAATATAGAATTCACACCATGTAGCATATAACAAAGCCATCACAGATTGATGTTGTACAAAATTGATGTTTGTGAATTTTGTTTTGGCCATCCTGAACAAGAACATTTGAAGATTGATGTTTTTGGCCATCCTGGAACAAGTTTTGAAACTTCTGATTGTTTTTCGGACAGTCTTTGAAATAGGTGTTATTAATAAAATACAATCTTATTTGCAATGAAAAAAAAAAAAAAAGCTTCTTAAATTTCAATAAATCTTGTAGCCATGCTTTGATTTATTGGGAGGGAAATGTGACCGTTAAGAAGGTCAAAGTTCAAACTTCATAAAGCTTAAGATTTCGCTCGCTCTTATCTGAAAATTAATTCTTCATGGGAAAGCTCAAAGACATGAATAGGTATTTGAAAAGGTTGAGGATACTCTAAAAAATATCTGTGGACCAATTGAAATTTATCTAAATGTTGAGAAGAGAGGTCATCTGCTTTAGTGCTATTAGAAACAAGACAGACCATGCAAAGCAATCCTGTGGCAAAGAAATAACTATCCAAATAAAAATAAATCAATAAAATAAGAGAAGAATAGTGGTTGGCTGTTGAAGCAGTTTTTCTGTTAGATTACAGTTTCTAGCAAAATGTAAAGCATATCTACTAATTTTGATGAATTTTCATAGCTTTTATAAAAGCTGCACTATTTAAAGATCTTATGTGCAGAATTAATTAAGAATTTAACATTTTTTGCAAAGGTACTAAATTTTTTGGCCACAATTTGCAAAGAGCGCTGAGTAGGGTTGCTGCTTTAGTGCAATTTACTAACAAGAAGTTTCATGTCACTGTTTTAAAAGGTTGCCATAATAATAAGAAAATACCTTTTTCCACTTTTGATACCAAATGTTTTTTCTTGACACAGTTCTATCTCCTTTATTTTATTTTTTTTTTCTATTAAAAACCATGGAAAACTGCAAAAATGGTTTTATTCTCGTCATATAGACAGGCATCCATAGAAAGGAATCTCTCTTTTAATAAATGTATTGAAAACTAGCAGTTCAAAAGATTTATTTTGCATATCTGAATGCATAGTATATCATCTCTGAACTTTTCGAAATTTATTCTGAGCACTGAAATTGCATAAAAAAGATTAGCAACTTCTGCTGCATGTTTTAGATATATGCAGTTTTTTAGAACAACAGAATTTTTATTTATATCCAAAAATTCAAAGATGAAAAGGGAAATCATCGAGGAAAAATTTAATTACATAAAATCAAAAAGTGAAAGGAAATTTTCTCAGGTACTCATGAAGATGTTAACAAATTAGCATATGATTCAGAAACTAGTAAGAACTTTGATTTGTTTATTTGAATAAGCGAATTTAGTAAATGAATTAGTTATTATATTTTATTTGAATAAATGAATTAGTCTGATGCATTTGTTGAAATTGATGAAAGCAGATTTGTTTGCAAACATATAGGTATATAAGCATAGTATAAGAATTAATGGAACATGGCTCATAGTAAAAGAGCGAATGGAACCTGGCTGCATGGAGGCAATGAAAGGGGGTCTGACTTTTTCCCCCCTTGCTTGTTGATTAAAGAATGAAGAAAATTCTTCTCAAGGTTATTAAGCGAATCATAAAGTAGGGTTCAGTAGTTGTCTGTAACTGAAATGCACGTAATGTCTTACAAAAAGGTTTTATGCACCTTTCAGTCAGTCATACTATGACATTTAAGAACTGTGTTTCCAGGGTTCACACTGACTCAATTAAACGTTTGTAGATCTCCAGTAGAATGCGTCTAGATGGAACTGACTGCCCAATTCTTTTGAGATCAATGTCTCGGAGAAATATCTTAGGACAGGATGAGGTTTTGCAGAGATGTATAGAAATGTGTATATGAAAATAGTATAATTGGAGGCTCTGGTGCAACTGTTTTAATTGATGAAATCACATTTTGACAGCAAGAATTTAACCATAGTAAAAGAGTTAATGGAATTTAACTATGTGGAGGCATATAAGGGATCTTTTTTCCCTCTCCAAGCTTGTTCAAGGAATGATGAAACTCTTCTCAGATTTATTAAAAGAAACATTAAACAGTACTCTATAATTGTCTCAGATGGAAGGTGTAATTGTCTTTAAAGTGAAGGTTTCATACACCATTCAATCAGTTAGAATATGATATTGCAGAGCCCTGTTTCTAGTGCTGACACAACCTGAAAGGCTTATGGAACTCCATTAGAAATCTTTACATGGAACTGACCACCTGAGATTTAGTTTCTTTTGATATATATGTCTCAGAGAAGTGTGCAGTATATAGGATGAGGTTTTGCAGAGAGCTATGTGTAGAAATGTATGTGTGCAAAAGTAGTTTGTTTGGAGATTCTGGTGTAGTTGTTGGAACTGAAGAAAACAAGTTGGGAAAATGAACATATAGTTGTAGTAAAAGAATGAATGGAACCTGGCAGTCTGGAGGCATTGAAAGGGTATCTGATTTTTTGTTGGGGTTTAGGTTTATGATTAGAGAATGAAAAAAAAACTCTCTTAAGTTATTAAACTGAATGTTAAGCAAGTTTCTACTCTTATAATCGTATCACATAGCTGGAATGCATATATTTATCTTGAATATAAAGGTTTTATACACATTTCAGTCACCCATAGTATGACATTAAGGACCTTCTTTCGAAGGCTTTCACAGATTTGATCAAGTTTTCATGGAGCTCCATTAAAATATGTGTGTACTGAATGATCACCCGGGATTTTTTTTTTTTTTTTTTTTTTTTTTTTTAAGGTCAGTATCTGTATAGAAATTTATCTGTGACAAAGTGACCAACCTACTCGGAGCTTTTATCATGTCAAGTGGACTATGAATGACTAGGACTACTGATTGTTTAGCCATAGTTAGGACTACTGATTGTTTAGCCATAGTTTGCCTACAGCTTCAAGTAGACTTGCTACTTTGGTACAGATTATCAAGAAAAAGGCTGGTAGTGCCATTTAAATAATGGGGGCTATAATGATTTGGAAATATCTTTTCTATTCCTGCAATGTTTAATTTCCTTTATTTTCTATTTTTGTGATTTTCCATATTCAAAAGTATAGAAAATTGAGAGAACATATTTGCTTGTTATAACTACCTTAAAATAAGGCTTCTTGGGGTGATTAGTTAGCATTATAAGGTATGATGAAAACTAGTTTATTAACAAAACAACACCTACATAAATAAAACAAAAAATTTTGATGTTGCATTGTTCATGTGAAGAGTCCAAGTCTAATGAAATATTCATTCATTTGAAGTTATAACATTTTAGACATAAACAGGAGCTATATACCGTACATTCCTACGTATAACACACATTTTTAATACAAAAAAATAAGATGAAAATTTATGTGTTACATGCTGGATTTAAAAATACAGAAAAGATGAGCATACAGAAGTTAGGTTTCTACATCTCCTTAAATGCTGTTTATTTAAATGAAATGATATACCTTATAAACTTAAAAATTTTGATTGTCGGATAACTTGAAAAGTTCATTATATTCTACTTTCATTGTATCTTCAGACACTTTACTGAATTCTGTTCCATCTAGATTATTTGAAATACTACATTTTTTAAATGACTTTTGAATTATGCCAGGCTGAATTTCATTCCATACTTTTAGTATGCACTCGTACGCTATTACTAGACTGGCATGATGTAATAGCATTTTTTCACCTTCTAACAGTCACGTATTTCACCATCATTTTAAATTTTCTTTGAAAGTTTTATTGATACAAATGTCCAAAAGCTGAAATAATTCTTATAGGTGTATGCTATATGCCGAAATATACAGTATGTAAGATGCATGGTCATTCCTGACTGAAATGCAGCCATAATGTACAACATTTCTATGCTGTGCATTAGATAGGCCAGGATTTAATGTGCTAAGAAAATTTATTCACAATGAATAATATTTGAAGCTCCAGGAGAATGTTAGGTGAAGGTTACAGTAATGTAAGTCAACATCCAAATACATTCCATCCAAGTTCTGTTGGATTTAAATTTGGAGAGTATGGGAGGCATTCCAACTGCTTTCTTTGCTGCAAATTCTTTGGTTTTCAAGATAATGCACTAGTACAATGTAATGGGCATGAGCATTATTGTTCATTAGAAGAAAGTTATTACCTACTGTACATGTAAACAACTTGACATAAGGGTCAAGAACCTTATC